CAACAATAGACTAGACCAAGCAGAAAAAAAGGATTTCAGAACTTGAAGACAGGTCTTTTGAAATAACCTAGTCAGAGAAAAAATAAAGAAAAAAATTAAAAAGAATGAACAAAGTCTTTGAGACATCTGGGACTACATAAATTGACCAAATTTATGAATTATCGGTATTCCCTAGGGTAAAGAGAGATCAAAAGGCTTAGTAAACCTATTTAATAAAATAATAGATGAAAACTTCCCAAGTTCTAGCAAGAGATTTAGACATCCAGATATAGGAGGCTCAGTAATCCTCAGGCAAATAAAATGCAAAACGGACTTCCCCACAACACATTATAATCAGACTGTCTAAAGTCAAAGTGAAAGAGTTAATTTCTAAAATCATCAAGAAAAAAGTGTCTAGTCACCTATAAATGAAACTCCATCAGACTAACAGCAGACTTTTCAGCAGAGACCTTACAGGCCAGAAGAGAATAGGATGACATATTCAAAATGCTGAAAGAAGGAAAAAAATGCAGACAAGCATTCTGTACCTAGCAAGGTTAACCTTTATAAATGAAGGAGAAATAAAGTATTTCCCAGACAAACAAACGCTGAGGGAATTTGTCACCACTAGACTGGTCCTACAAGAGATACTCAAGAGAGTCCTAAACTTGGAAATAAAAGGACATTTACTATCATAAAAACACATAGAAGTATAAAACTCACTGGTAAAGCAATGTTGATATTTTAGGGATTCCTCTTTGTATGTGCTTGTGTGCTTTGCCCATGCTCTGGGCATTCACCATCATTCTGCAATGCACATTTCATATGCAGCAGAGAGGTGAAGGTTAGCTTGAATCATACCTTTGAGAGGGGAAACTTTTAATATCCTCATGCATGAACACACTGACTAGTGGAAATTAGCTGGAAAGAGAGGTATAAAGGGCAGAGATATCCAGTGTGAGTTAGACGGATTGGGGAGAACAGATTTTCCTCTGAGCTCTCCTGTCCTGTCTATTACTTTTTTCATGTTATGCACTAAGTCTGGGAGACTTGACAATTTTACTTACCCTTTCCGGCCAAGGGAAAGTGAACCAACAGTGTGTTCATGCACATACAAAGAGGAATCCCTAAAATATCTTGCTAACCTTCCTCACTTACTAATATTCCACCACTAAATTCAGTTCTTTGATCAAAACCATACTCTACTGAAATGGAGTCTTTGTGCTACTTTATAATCCATCACACTCCAAAGGCATTGGTTTATTAGAAACTTCCTCTCATCATATACCTACAAAGAAAGCGTGAGGGATAGTGGGTTTTAAAGACTAAAAGATGAGTGCAAATCTAAGGTCACAGGCAGAGGAGATACGGTGTGAAGTAGAAGCCAAAGCAGGAGGTCAAGGGACTCAACATTACTTTGGCAGCTGGTGAAGCACAATTACCTTGGCACTCATTATCTTAAGCCCCAAAGTATCCAAGAGGCTCAGAATTTTTTTTTTCCTGCTGGCACAGCCATCTTAACTTAAAAGTAGCAGGTTACACTGATTCAGGGCATGTGGTCTGGCATAAACCAGATAGGAGCATCATGCAGGACTTAGCGTATTCGCTACGGGACTTACAACAAACTACTTGAAATATTATTTACCAACATAGGTTTTAATTATTAAGCAAGTTGCCACAAATCATGTAGAGCATGGGACATAGCATATAAAGTCTCCAATAGAGTGATTATTTCCATGCTTTGAGTTTACTCACAGTCCTCAAGATTATCCTCAGCTCCAACAAACTCTTCTCTCATGGAAAACAAGATAAAACATTATTACTTATGTATTTATTTTCATGAATAGCAAGCATATAACTTGCCCATATACTTAATTTACTTACTTATACTTTCTAATCCTGAGTTGAAAATATGTATGAGAGGTACCTCCTCCCCATATCTCAAAAAGTTTTCTTTCTCTTCTTGACCTATAGGTCCTGCTTATCTTTTGAAGGTGCTTAACACATCTTGCCACTCCTGCGATGTCACTTTCCCCAGGTCCTGGTCTCCACCACCTAGGTTAGGCACCTCTTGCTACCAGTTAAAATCTTCCTGGGGGAAGTTAGGGTGCCAGGGTGAACTGTCCCTAAGTACTCTCTGATCTGTGGAGGGTGACAATTCACAGAATCTCTAGCTTTTTGAGATCATGGCCACCTTATCTCACACTTTCTTATATAGAGCCAGGCTGAAGGAAGATACCATATACAGGTGGGAGGCCAGTAAAGCTGGTCATTGTAAGCCTCATCTGCACTTGACAAAGATTTATTGCTGGACAGCCAGCCATCACAAGCTTTAGAAGAGCCACCAGTGGCCACTTGAACTAGTGCTAGAATGAAGCCAGCTTAATGATAATACCTAAATGTCAATGGCCATTGCTGTCATCTGCTCACCTAACCCCTCAGTCCTTTAAAAACGTTCTACCACCCTAATCAGCATTTCAGAGTATCCCTGAACAAAGCGGCACACACTGTTGAACACACTATGCTGGTTCAGGGTATGAGTGACAATAGCTGGTTAGGAATGGCTCAGAGCTGAATAGAAAATTCATGTACCAAAAGAGAGGCTAGTAAAAGAAGTATAGGCCAGGCGTGGTGGCTCATGCCTGTAATCCTAGCACTCTGGGAGGCCTATGTGGGAGGATCGCTCAAGGTCGGGAGTTCAAAACCAGCCTGAGCAAGAGTGAGACCCTGTCTCTACTAAAAATAGAAAGAAATTAATTAATTGGCCAACTAAATACAGACACACACACACACACACACATATATATAATTAGCTGGGCATGGTGACGTATGCCTGTAGTCCCAGCTACTCAGGAGGCTGAGGCAGGAGGATCACTTGAGCCCAGGAGTTTGAGTTTGCTGTGAGCTTGGCTGACATGATGGCACTCTAGCCCAGGCAACAGAGTGCGACACTGACTCAAAATAAATAAATAAATAAATAATTTAAAAAATAAAAAATAAAGGAGGCATAAATAAAGTCACAGCGTCTATAGAATAGGATTCGTTCCACTAGAAAAGTCCAGTATGGCTATTTTCACATAGCTCTTTAAGTAAACTCCTACTTCTTTAAGTCACTGGAGTGACACTTGCTGTTACTAGTTTAAGAGTCTATTTCACATTTATATTTGCCTTTAGCTCAAAATAGATGGGATTTTTACACTGATGGAGTTTTAAAACTATGGAGTTGAAATTCTAGAGAAGAATAAATGACATCAACAAGAACAAAGTGATAGGAAAGCATGAAGCACGTTGCAAGATCAGTTACTGTCCCTTTTGGATAAAGAGTTTAGTGGTCCTAGTCACTAGGATGTGGAATATAGTGAGTCTAAGGTGTGGTTTCAAAAATGGAAGATAAAAATTTGTTTTAGGACAATCGAATTTGAGCCAAGATAGAGTGCAGTAGGAAATTGATTATGTATGCATTAAAGGAACTTTGGGGAAACACCTGAGTGGGAAAAAAATTTGACATTCGGACTGCAGTACATCTCAATGTTTACAGGGCTCCAAAATCAATTAAAGAGCTGAATTTTAATATATGAGCAAGAGAGTAAATGTATCTGTGACTCTATCAAAAATATGAAATGTAGAATCTTATCTATATTCCTGTTATGGAGTGTTTTTACACAGGAGTGAAAATTTCCTAAAATTTAAGATTGTGGCAATGGTTGCATACCACTACAAACAGACTAAAAAACACCAAATGGTATACTTTAAGTGGGTGAATTGCATGTTATATGAATTATATCTGCATAAAGCTATTTTAAAGAAAGAAGGTGGCAGGCCGGATTTCATAGAAGGGACATAGCTTGCCAACCCCTGCTCAAGATGGTTGTTTTATTTCCTTTTCTTCATTGCATGTATTCCTAAATGAGCTGAGGGGCATCTGACATCAGCACATCTGCAGCCAATCCACTCACACCATGCCAGCTGGAAGCTGTTATAGCATAGCACTAGAGCCCCAAAAGCTCATGGTGGCTGGTCCCTGTATTTTCATGCCATTTATTTCCTATCTGTGGAAAACATGTTTTTGACACAGCTGGCTACTTCTTGCCCCCCACTCCCCGGCCCTAATGTCATTTAAGGAGACAGTGTGACATCCCAATGATCAAGGATCCTGCATTTGAAATTATGGCAATGAGCCTTGGAGCTGACATATCCCTGAGACAAAATGTTCATAGTGTACCACTGCTGGGCCAGCCCTGTGAAAGCAAATGGAATCTGGACTTTGCTATTTGAAAGAATGAAGGAAACTTATACACCAGCACAACCACTGTACCCCATGTACCGAGGTGATTCACTCACTCCTATGAGGATGTTTGTGAAACAGCAGCTGTGACTGAATCACCACCTCATTGAGCTTACCATAATCCACTGTTACTCTCAAAGAACATTCTTCCACATCAACCAAACTGGAGGATAAAGTGCATGGCCCATGCATCTCTCAAGTCCAACAGTGGACTTCTCCACAATTTCCACAAGGTGTGGGGCTGCTTTTGAATGATAACTTTCACAGGGATATGGAGCTTCCACAGGTCCCACTTGCCTCTTTCTATCCCAGGAGCTACTGCTGCATGGGTCAGGAAACCACAGGGGGCATTAACAGAACACAAGTTCCATTAGGGCCCAGAATTTTGTTTTTTGTATTCAAAGCTATATCCCCAGCACTTGGCACATTGAAGGCAATCACTATTTGTGGAGTGACCCAATGAGTGAATACTTGAAGTCTACAGGTTGACCCTAACTACATACCCATAAGGTGGGTAACTAACCCCACCTTACAGGTCCAGTGGGTGATTCCACTGGATCTGTAATGCACTCAGAATAGTAAAACAAACAAACAAACAACAACAACAACAAAAAAAAACAAACCTATGATGCACAATGTGTTCTTAAAAAATGGCAAAGGAAAAAAGAGTATAGATTCATTTTTTAAAAAAAGTAAACAAATCCACTAAAAAGAGAAAAGCATGAACATGATATTATAAGGGATTAAAATGGCTTTAATCAATCATGAGAAATACCAAACACTCTCCGGAAGACACATTCCATTTAACCAACCTACTCAGGATTTGAAAAGTTGTATTTGAAATAATTTCTGAGGTTTATGAATGTAGTTTTTTCAAAACGCATTTGAACCAGGCCCTGTACTGTCTATATAAGAAAAGATGTACAGGGAATAAAAATGTTTTGTTATTACGACCTTTGCACTGGGGTCACAGAAACTGCTCTCCAAGTATAACACAACTGAATGCTCTCCACCACGACGGCATTGACGACATCATATCTTTGAGGTATGTATCCATCAGGAAGTTTCAGAGAATCCAAGGTAAAAAAGATAGTATCATCTATCACCCCGTTTCTTCCATGGAGGCTAGTAACATAAACCTGTAATTGTAAATAATGGAAATAATTATGTAAAAGCATAACAAACACACTGTAACAAGCTTTGTACCTTCTCATTCTGGCTCTAACCTGCAAGTTACTCGATCTCTGTCAGTGATTTCCAACCTGGCTGGCACACTGGCAACACCAGGGGTGCTTTGCATAAATATGCATGCCCAGACCCCACCTCAGACCAATTCAGTCAGAATCTCTGGGGATGGGGCTCGAGTCTCTGATTAGAAACACTACTCTTAATATTACCCACAATGGCCATTATTAACCTCTGTAGTTAGGCCGGGCACGGTGGCTCACGCCTATAATCCTAGCACTCTGGGAGGCTGAGGCGGGCGGATTGCTTGAGGTCAGGAGTTCGAAACCAGCCTGAGCAAGAGCGAGACCCCGTCTCTACTATAAATAGAAAGAAATTAATTGGCCAACTAATATATATATAGAAAAAATTAGCCGGGCATGGTGGTGCATGCCTGTAGTCCCAGCTACTCGGGAGGCTGAGGCAGCAGAATTGCTTGAGCCCAGGAGTTTGAGGTTGCTGTGAGCTAGGCTGACGCCACGGCACTCACTCTAGCCTGGGCAACAAAGCGAGACTCTGTCTCAAAATAAATAAATAAATAAATAAATAAAATAAATAACCTCTGTAGTTAAGGTAGAGAGAATGAAAGAAGTTGAGTGAGAAAGGAATGTGGTGGTAAGTAAATAGACTATCATTTTTTCTCTACTTCCTTGGTCACATTCCAACCTCATTCCTTCATCTTCACCATTGTGCCAACTCATTTTCAGTCTCCAGTACCCAGCTGTTACTGGTAAGCTCATGTCCCACTCCATTCATTCTTTCCCAATGATTCCCTGAAGCATGATTTGTTTTCTGTTTTTGTTGCTCTCAAAACATTTTAATGCCTCTCAAATAAACAACATAATTTAGACCTTAATTATATGTGTGTTCAGCATTATTCTCTAATTATTTCCTTTCATAAATACAGCCTTTTCAATAAGAACATAGGCTCCCCTTTGGCAAAGAATATATTTTATTTTAGGTTTCCCAACATGCCAAATAGAATCCTGAGCAGCAGAAGTTATCACTAAAGGAAAGATAAGCAGAAAAGAATGACAAATGCAACATATAAACAAACTACCTCATGTACATGCTTATGTCTCAGAGGCTTCACTGAGAGGGCCTTCCTGCTCTGTGTGCCTGGATGGATGTAAAACTCAATTTCTATCCGGTCACCTTGATAAGGCTCAAAACCTAAAACAGCCATGGAGAGAAATTGAGTTGGAATAGTTCTTATTTTTGGTAATGTTACATTTCACAAGTTACTTTTACATTATAATAACCTATAATAGTTTCTATTACATCTAAGGTAGATTTTGAACATTTTAAAACAGTTAACCTATAAATCTTCCTGTCAGAAAGGAAGTTTATAAAGTTTTAGTCATTGATTCTCCTCTATTGATTTAACAAAGTCAAATGAGGAAAAGTGTCAACAATGCATCACAGCCAATCTTTTGGGGAGCAGCACAATATTTATTAAACAATTGGTCACATTCATAACTCCTTAGGGAGAGGCAATCAAGTACACAGTAAGAACACAAGTTTGAATGTGGCTACTTGCATTCAAATCTTGACACCACCACTTAGATTGCAACCTTGGTCAAGGTGCTTAAGCTCTCTGTGCCAAGGCACGGAGACAGTTGTCTAAAAAATGAGAAACACAATAGTAGTATTTACCACATAGAGTTGCACAGACAAATAATCACTACATATAAAACTCATAGAATAGCACCTGGCACATAATCAGCACCAAATAAATGTTGATTGCTATTAGTGGTAGCATTAGCAATAGGACATACTGCTACAGAAAGAAAGAAACAATTTTCTCAGGTGTTATGCACAGGGGGCGAACTCTATCTATATTGTTATATGACTATAGACAAATATTTGCATATTTTTATAATAAGCTAAAAGTGAGTAACAAGATATAAAGGCACCAGGGAGGATTTGAAGCAAATGTAATTCTCATACACTATTTACACTATTGAAAGTGTAAATTTACACTATTGGAAGTGTAAATTGGTACAACCACCTCAGGAAGCTGGCAATATCTACTAAAGTTAAACATTTCTATACCCTATGTCCCAGCATTTTCTAGTCCCTTCTTATTCTTTTTGTTGTTGTTGTTGTTGTTCTTCCTCAATCCATTACAACTAAATTTTAGAATGACCCAAGACATGCATTAGACCTCTTCTCTCTTGCTCTCTCTTTGACTTTTTGTCTATACATATTCCTTTTGCATGGATTTATACAATATTCATAGGCTGATAACTTCAAAAGGTATAGACTTGCAGCTCTACTCAGCCTCGAATACATATATCCAAATGCTTGTTTAAATGATGTCTAAAGCTGAGTTCTTGCTATTCTTCTCATGCACCCAATTTCACTCCTCAGTCTTTCCTCATCTCAAGTATGGAAACTCTTCCCTTACCATTGCTTAAATAAAAAACTTTTGTGTGACCCTTGTCTCTTCTTTCATTCACACCAAATTTCCAATCCATCAGCCAATACTTTCGCCTCTACCTCCAAAATATTTCCAGAATCAAATCAGTCCTTACAACAGCCTTCACTTCTACTAACTCTCTCTAAGTCTCCATCATCACTCACTAGGACTATTGCTACACACTCCTAACTTGTCTTCCCAAATCCACCCTTGTCCCATACAGCCTATTCTCAACAGCCAGAGTGGACATCTTAAAACATAATTCACATCATATCACAACACTGCTCAAAATCCCCCCCCAAAGCCAAAGTCTTACAATGACCTATAAAGCCCTATGTAGCTCATCCCCTCTCTTCCCTCTTTTAGTTTTTTACTAAAAATTTACCTTTTCAAGGCCTTCTCTGGACACTGTATCTAAAATATCAACCCATAGCTCCTTAGATTTCTATTTTTCATTAAGTATGACTCAGACTTTCAGTCCTAGTCCTAAGCATATTAGCTATGACAAACAAAATCATAGGACCACAAATAGACTTGTACAAAAATGTTCTTAGCACCTTTATTCATTAAAACTAAAAACTGTTAACAGCCAATATGACCTTCAATAGAATGGAGAAACTGTGATATATTTGATGTAATGAAATGAACTACAGGCACACACAACAATATAGATGAATATAAAACCTTCTTAGTCAAAAAAGTCTTACACAAACAATTATGCATGTCTGATTTCATTCTATGAAATTCTCAAATGGGCAAAATTAAATCTATGGCAGGGAAAAAAAGCCAGAACTATGTTTGCTTGGGGTGGTGGTGGGGCAGGAACAGGGATTGACTAGGGAAGGGCATGAAAGTAATGCCAAGGCATGTGCATTTGTCAAAACCCAAAGAATCTCAGGAAAAAAAACTAAACAGATATTGAACTTGAGCTGATGATTCACATGCTGAAGCATTCAGGATATGTCTGAATTTTGCTTTCAAATATGTAAAAAATAAAACAAAGTGTTCTTGGATATGAGTGGCTAGGGACAGCTAACTCCAACCAGTCTCACCTATAGGAGAAACAGTAGATGCTCCTGGCCCAGCCAGCCTCTTGGCAGACTGGTTGTCATGCCGTGGCTCATGTCTTGGCCTGAAAAGAGCAAGATTCTGCCAGGCCATCAAGCTGGCAGGGTCACTGGGAAACGTGGGATACTGAAACATTTCAGGAAAAGAGAAGCTCTGATATCCTATCACAAAGTGTAGAGATTAGTCCTAACGCGCTTGCCACGGTGTAAATCTGTAACTACTTATTTGATAATTTGGCAACCTTTTAAAAAATTTTTCATAAACCCTTTTGACAGCAATGAGATGAGAAGATGAATGCATACTTAGGGAAAATGCGTAACAAATTGGTTATCCAAGAAAATTGATGACTATGTGGCTTATGCACGTATATTATGGGCTCAAATTCATATGTTGAAGCCCTGACCCGCGGTGAGATGGGCCCTCTAAAGAAGTAACTAAGGTTAAATGAATCATAAAGGTGGGGCCCTAATTTGATAGGATTAGTGTCCTTATAAAAAGAGACACTGGAGAGCTTGTTCTCTCTCCTTGTGCATGTGTGCTGAGTTAAAGTCATGTGACGACACAGCAAGAAGGCAGCTGTCTGCAAGTCAGGAAGAAAGCCCTCACCAAAAACCAAGTCAATGAGACCTTTCTCTTAGAATTCTAGTCTCCAGAACTGTGAGAAAATAACTTCCTGTTGTTTAAGCCCAGTCTATGTTATTCTGTGTGGCAGACCAAGCAGACTAAGACAATGTTCAACATTGACTCTTTACCATGAGGTCCATATGATGTCACTAAGCTTCAGGAAAACCAGAGGACTCAAATCTGTTGAAGCATTTCTTAGTAGATATTTTAAGGCAGTGCCCCCAAACAACAAGTTAACACGGGAAGCTACAAAAAACACACTGACATATAATTCTATGATGCATTGCTTTTTGAAATCTGCTTTAACATAATTTCAACAATTTTTTATTCCAATTTTTCTTAGGTATACATTGGAAAAGTGAAGCAACAGCTGTTAATATGTAAGCTCCACTAGGATAAGAACTTTGCAAAGAGTTAAATAATGTCAGATGCTTTAAAAAAAAAAGAGTTAAATGAATTCTAATAACTGTTTGATCCTTCCCATCCAAATCATGGAATCAAAGTGAAAAAGAGAAAAATCAACCCCCGATGTCCAAACCTGATCTGATGTTCACAGCTAAGCCTCAATATTATAATTGGTTGATCTGACACTCATAGCCAGGCCATTTTGTTTTCCTGTTGGACATAAACAGTTTCATAGGATATAATCTCAGAAAAAAAATTAATTTAAGACCATGACAAAAAAAAAAAGAACAATACAAGGTCACTTCAGAATTCTGTGTAAGCACAGACAAAAACAAGGCTACTGTACCACCTGCAAAATACTCAATCATACAATCGCCCCACTTTGTGACAGCATTCAATCTAGAGCTAACCTCTGCTTTCTTATACCCTTCCCAAATCATCCAACTAAATCCCAATTCCTATAATAGTTTTTTTTCCTAATGATCTCTTACTGAGAAATGCCATGGTTCTACCATGGTGTGTGCTCTCCCTCACTGAAATGAGTAATAAACTTAACTTGATTTGGCTGAAGAGCATTCACAAAAGTAGTGAAAGTTCTTGCTGGCAGAGGTAAAATATCTGACATTAGTATGAATGCTATTGTAAATTCAGTCAAAGAGTATCTCCTACATTGGAGATAAAATTATCCATTTTTGCAGTGGTAAAACAAATGCAAATTTGGAGCAAAGAATCATAGTAAATACGATGTGCTTGGAAATTAAGAAACTGATGGAGCAAAAATGTACTTGAATTTGTTGTGGGGTAAACATAGTTCCTAACTCTCTTCTACACCTTCAATCAATCCCCTTGGCATCACAAACATGGTCAAGTCTTTCCCATCCTGAGAATTCTCCTAGCAAGGCTGCCATTGGTGGTGACTTCCTGTTAGCATGCTGGAATTCCTGTTAGCATAAGGGACCAAGAAATTGCCTTTGAAGCTTAGCCATCATGGGAGCCTTTTCCCCAGAATTGCAAATTTCTGACTAAACGGATCATAAAATTCTAGCTGCCACCAGACAATCATTTTGGGGACTTCTAGGGCTAACAACTAAGGTCAAGTTTCTGGCTTTTACATCCCAGAAAAATAAAATAGAAAGCTGCCTGGTGTGGCTGAGCTAATTTCCCCTTTTGCTGAGCTAACTTCCCCCTTTACTGCCAAGCTAAATGGCAGCTGATTTTGTTTCAACAGGTACAAAATTCTTACTTCTGTTCACCTTTCAAAATCCAGCCAAGTGCAAGGAGTTGCAGAGGGCGAAGAATCGAAATCAGAGAGCACATCGCTCAGGCAGGCTTCCCCAATTTTCCCCATTGCAATCTGTCATTCCCTCTGCTCTGCTCAGTCACAATGTTCTCATCACATCCTTACACTGTATTAATTACACACACCACCTACCTGCCTGTCCCAATTAGACCATGAACTACTTACAGGCAGTGCTTGATAAAGTCTAATGTATCTTGGTCTCACCAGTATCTAGCATTCTATCTTGAGCTGAATTAAACTGAAATAGCATAAACAAATTAACATATTATTGCTTTAGGTGTAAAACAACAAAATGTTTTATCTGCTAATTATAAATAGAATTCAGCAATTCACACACACACACAAACACACATGCACGGAAAGGCACTAGACTATCTCCACACCTTATTTTAAAGCATCTGAAGTATTTTTTAAAATAGTATCCCTGTGTATTCATAATATTTTTATTAGATTAGAAATGCAAAACCTATATGAACAAAAATTACACAAATATTAGTATCTGTATCCAATAAATGAAAATGTAACATATGATAGCATGAGTTTTAAAAAAAATTATGTATCTGTCCTTTGCTACACATTATTTTCAACTCCAAAGGTCCACTTCAAACATAAAAAGCTGCTGATTGGAGCCAAGTATACTGGAAAAGTAGTTCTAGTACTAAAATCCTCTCATCAAATAGGCATGTTCTAAATTCGACCCTAGAAATTATGCCTTTAATCATTTCCAAATCCAACTGATAAAATTAAGAAAACAGGTAAACTTTATTTTAAATTTTAAACAATGTAAACTGTACCTTTACAAACAACATCTAGAGAGAGGTAAGCTGTGTGATTAATGTAGTCAGCCCTATCCATTAGAGAGGTAACACAGCCCGATGAAACTCTTCTATAAGAGTCTGATCGTCCATCATCATTGCAATTATCACAGAAAGCATCCACCTGTAAGGTAAAGAAATAGTTATTTCAAGCACAAAAGTTTAAAGACAGAAACATGCTTAAATCATTGTTCAAGAAATGGTTTAAAGGAGTATAACAAACAGTGGTGAATATATTTCAGCTGACAAACACATCATATAGACATGAGCTGATGATATAATGCCTGAGCTTCATATTCTTTTTACTTTATTCTTAAGAGTAGTTTAGGAACATTGTGCAGAGTACAGAGAATATCCGTATACTCCCTCTCCTCTACCCTGAGTTTCCCCTATTACTGGCATCTTAACATTGGTGTGGTACATTGATTACAATTGATAAACTAATAATAATACATTATAAAGTCCGCAATTTACACTAGGGTTCACTCTATGTGTTATATAGTCATAAATTTTTTTAATGTGTCTAAAAAGATTATTTGCACATCCACCAGATTTAATGCAGTGATAGTATTAGATTCAAAGATAAAAGATACATTATTCCTGCCCTCCAGAAACTCACAATCAAAGGGAATAAAAGACAAAAGTAGCTAATTCAAAGCAGATTGAAATAAATAATAAAAAACAAGTCCAAAAATTTGTTTTTGAGAATACCCAGGAAGAAGACAATTTCAGATTGAGAGAATATAAGACAGTTTCTTGGAGGAAGTGTTTTTGACGTGGGCTATGAAAGAAGAAAAAGCTTTTACCTTATAAATGGGTTGGGGAAAGGAGTAGGGAGACATTAAGGGAAGAAAGAAAACACAAGTCAAGTTAGAGGAACAGAGAGGAAACCCATAAGACTCTAGATTAGGGCACGTGGGGGGACAGAAATGTGAGATAAATTGGGAAAATAACTGGGAGGTGGAGGGCTCTAAAACAGACAAGTCAAATTATAGTTTTCATTTATCTACAATAAGTAAACATCCAAAATTTATATTTATTGGAAATGTAATGGCCTTTATATTTTGTTTTTCTAATTACACAAATAATACATGTTCACCATACAAAAAAAGGTCACAGAACAGCAAGAACCAATCCAAAAACCAAATCCAAAAATCCACTACCTACCTAAAGATAACCACTGACAACATTCTGATGCTTACCCTGTTCCAGATGTTTTTACTATGCATAAATATCTATGTACCATTTTAATGGAAAACTTAATATTTATATATATATTATTCATGTATCATCAAATGATCAGAAATATGTCAACAGACTGTTGAAACATTATTTTAAAGGCTAATATAGCATACCACTGAATGGAAGTGACATAATTTATAGACTCAGTTCCACGTAGTTAGACATTTGGCCTGCATCCTATTACATTGCCAACTTGCCTGATTTATTTATACAGGATAAACTCCTAGTAGTGGAATTTCTTGTTCAAAAGTTTCTAATGGGCCGGCGCGGTAGCTCACGCCTGTAATCCTAGCTCTCTGGGAGGCCGAGATGGGCGGATTGCTCAAGGTCAGGAGTTCGAAACCAGCCTAAGCAAGAGCGAGACCTCGTCTCTACTATAAATAGAAAGAAATTAATTGGCCGACTAATATATATATAAAAAATTAGCCGGGCATGGTGGCGCATGCCTGTAGTCCCAGCTACTTGGGAGGCTGAGGCAGGAGGATCGCTTGAGCCCAGGAGTTTGAGGTTGCTGTGAGCTAGGCTGACGCCACGGCACTCACTCTAGCCTGGGCAACAAGTGAGACTCTATCTCAAAAAAAAAAAGTTTCTAATGAAACTTGATCCATGGAGGCATACATTTTTGTTCATGTTTTTTTTTTTTGTATTTTTTTTTGAATAGCCTAGTTTATGGCCTAGTTCCATTTCTCAATCAGTGCATTTGGAACCATCAACACCAATTTTATGGTTATTTCCTCTCATTCACTTTCATTGAGGAATCAGGCACCAGGCTCCCAACTATCTATCCACCACCACTTCTGTCAGTATTTAAGTGGATGATCCGTAGCACCCTCTGATCTCTCTGTTCCCTGTGTGGAGTCACTTATACAGCAGACTGAAACTTCCCTGAAGTTTCATGTCAAACTCCCTATTCTCCCTCCTCGGATTCTTTCTCCTTTCAAATATCATCGATTCTTGAATTTCACTCACTTCGTCATTCTCAGCTGGTAAAACTGCAAGCCCATAAAAGCCCAACTATCCAGCCATTCTCCTCCCTTACTGCAACAAGTGGACTGCTGTAAAAATAAAAACACCAAATTCTACTGTCTAGGTCCACCTACAATGAGGGGCATAAATATAACATGAACATTCAATACTACCCAATAATATTACTCTAGTTCCCTAGTAAATATGTCTTCCCACAATCTAAAGCTATCTATACCTCAAAACGATTGCATCACAATTTTATTTTTTTAACTACACACATATTTTTGTGGCCATTAGTGAAAAATTCATAAACGCAGATAAGCATGCCTTGCCTCTTATTTCTCTGAGAAAGCAAAGGCCATTACATAGGAGTTCCTTATGAATCTCCTAGCACCTGTTCTGGCTGTCTCTGCCTTCCCTCCTATAACAATAGAGAGATGTCACCCAAGCCCTTACCCAGGGCTGACCCTCCAATGAGCACATGGTACCATTCCCTCTTGTACCATGAGGACTTTGATCCTATAGTCATTGCTTCTCTTACTCATATATCAATAATTTTTCTCTTTCTAATGAATCAATACACAAACATACTCTGGACTCTCCTGTCTATAAAAAAAGAAACTTCTTGGCCGGGCGTGGTGGCTCACGCTTATAATCCTAGCACTCTGGGAGGCCGAGGCAGGAGGATTGCTTGAGCTCAGGAGTTTGAGACAAGCCTGAGCAAGAGTGAGACCCCATCTCTACTAAAAATAGAAAAAAATTAGCCAAACAGCTAAAAATAGAAAAAATCAGCCGGGCATGGTGGTGCATGCCTGTAGTCCCAGCTACTCAGGAGGCTGAGGCAGGAGGATCGCTTGAGCCCAGGAGTTTGAAGATGCTGTGAGCTAGGCTGACGCCATGGCACTCTAGCCCAGGCAAGAAAGTGAGACTCTGTCTCAACAACAACAAAAAAGGATAAACTTCCCTTGATCTTATTTCCCCTGGAGCCTCATTTCTCCCTGTAGAGGTCTTTTATCTCCTTGGTTAAATATATTCCTAGGTACTTTATTTTCTTTGTTGCTATTGTGAAGGGAATTGAGTCTTTGATTTGGTTCTCGGTTTGACTATTATTGGTATATATGAATGCCTCTGATTTGTGTGTACTGATTTTGTATCATTAGACTTTACTGAATTTATTTATCAATTCAAGGAGTCTCCTGGTTGAATCTTTGGGGTTTTCTAGATATAATATCATATCATCAGCAAAGAGTGAGAGTTTGATCTCTTCTGCTCCCATTTGGACACCCTTAATTCCGCTCTCTTGTCTGATTGCTATAGCAAGGACTTCCAGCACTATGTTGAATAGAAGTGGAGATAGTGAGCAACCTTGCCTTGTTCCAGTTCTAAGTGGAAATGCTTTCAATTTTTCCCCATTCAGTATAATGTTGGCTGTGGGTTTGTCCTATATGGCTTGTATCATTTTTAGGTAAGTCCCATCTATGCCTATTTTGTTAAGTGTTCTTATCATAAAAGGGTGTTGAATTTTGTCAAATGCTTTTTCTGTGTCTATTGAGAGTATCATATGGTTTTTGTTTTTGCTTCTGTTTATGTGGTGAATTACACTTATAGATTTGCATATGTTGAACTACCCCTACATCTCTGGGATGAAGCCCACTTGGTCACATCACCTCTAATTTTAAAAAAATCTAGAAATGTAATATAGAGGATACTTCTTTACCAAAACTAAGATATTTCAAAGCCTCTGTTGTTATCATACATTCCAATAAAAATAGAAACAAGGTAGGGGCTATAACAAGTCTTTCTTTTTTTTTTCTTTTTTTAAATTTTAATACATTTGGGGGTACAAGTTGAATTCTGTTACATGTATATATTGTATAGTGGTGGAGTCTGGGCTTTTGGTGTACCCATCATCTAGGGTACATTGTACCTCCTAGATGCCCTTTTGTTTCAAATTTTAACATTTCTGAAATAAAAAAGATAGCCATAACCCATGCATACTTTAAATTTCCATTATTAAATTATTGGTGTACCTTAAAATTGGTGGGAGTCAAAAATTGATAAGATTCTGTTTAAAAGGGCTAGCAAGTGTTTGAATAGGCGTAAATACTATATTTTCTAGATACTAAGATCCCCTTTTAAGACCCTGTAATTGTACTATATTATCATACATCTCAAAAATCTGTCTTTGTTGATTTTGAAGTTACAATGATAACCTATAGAATAAAAAAAAGTTCACATGCATGTGTTTGTATAAATTAATACACTACTGATAAAAGGGAACAGAGAAGTGTATAATGCAATTTAGCCAAATTTCACATCTTTCATGATACAAATTTAATAAATATTGGCCAATATTGCTAGTTTAAGACTAGATATAAGAATATTATGCAAATTATCCAGGTATCCATGAAAAGAGGGCCTCTATTTCTAAAAGTAAAAACCACAAAACCCATTATTTCTAAAGAATAAAAGCTGCCCAAAGGAACATGAAGGATGATTTTTACTTTAAATTTTATATCCTTCTAGACTTTGAATTATTTATGTATTATTTATATATATATATAACTGTTCAAATTTTAAGAAAGTTTATATTAAGCATTCAGTTGATAATTGCCTTCTAAATAATAATAATAATGTACATCTCAACCATTTAAAAAAGGCACAAAGAAGAGTTCAGTAAAATTTGCCATCTAACAAATTATATAACAAAATTTAATACTACACTATATAGGAAAGCAAAATTAGTTTGAAAATACAATATATATGAGGGTCTCACTCTTGCTCAAGCTGGCCTTGAACTGCTGAGCAAGGTATCCTCCTGCCTCAGCCTCCCAGAGTGCTAGGATTACAGGTGTGAGCCACCACCCTCAGCCCAGAAACAGCCGTCTTTTGACTGATAAGAATCCAGCTGTCTTTTATTAATAGTCATGGAAGAGATTTGTAAATGTAAAACAATGTCACTCTTCTCATTAAACCTTAGGTTTTCTTTTTCATAAAAGTCTCTTTTATTCAAGTTAACATTAATGGCTTTCTTAATGTTTGTGGTAGGCTGAATAATGCCCGCCCCCCAAAATGCCCACATCCTAATCATTGAAACTTATAAATATGTTACTTTATATGGCAAGAGACTTTGCAGATGTGATTAAGCTAAGGGTTTTGAGATGGGCGGATATCCTGGATCATATATGTGGGCACTATGGGACCCCCAGGATCCTCAGAAGAGGGAGATAGGAGTGTCAGAAGCAGAGAAAGGGAAGTAATGAAGGATCTGGAGATGGACCAATGGGCTTTGAGGACGAGGTCACAATCCAAGCAGTGTAGGCAGCTTCTGGCAGCTGAGAAAGGCAAGGGATAGGATTCCCCGCTGAAGCCTCCAGAAGGAACACAGCCCAGCTAATACCTTGATTTTAGATTTCTGACTTTCAGAATTGTAAGTCAATAATGTTATGCTGTTTTGAGCCCCTCAGTTTGTGGGTATTTGTTACAGCAGAAATAGGAAACTAATAGAATGTTATGGTTGAAAGAATTAAATAAATATTTTAAACATTTCTCAGTTTTCATTTTGAATACGGTAAATATCGACAGAACACATATAAACAGAAGCTCTTTGGAGTCCTCAGTGATTGTTGAAAGGATAAAGTAGTTCTGAAACCAAAAAGTTTGATAAATGGCTGAGCAATGAGATAGAAGAATCATGAGTCCCTTAATGATTTCATAAGCTCAGCTTTCTTGCCAGGCTGGCCTGCCTGCCCTTCTCTGGACTATTATGTGTGTGACAAATAAACTTCTATCTTATTTATAAAAAAAGAAAGAAAATACAATATATAAATATACTAATAATGATTTTAAATTTCCTTAAAATTAAAAGTTTATTTTTAAAATTAAATAAGTTAAATAAAAATATATTGATGATAGAATAAAAATATTAAAAATCTGTGAAATAAACTTACAGGAAATATACAGAACCTATTCAAAGAAAAGTACATAACAATTCAGAAGCATATAAGAGGAGAGATGTGGTGGGGCATGGTGGCTCATGCCTGTAATCTTAGCACTTTGGGAGGCTGAGGTGAAAGGATCTCCTGAGGCCAGAAGTTCGAGACCAACCTCGGAAACATAGCAAGACCCAGTCTCTAAAACTTTTTTTTTAAAATTAGCCAGGAGTGATGGTACATGCCTGTAGTCCCAGCTACTTAGGAGGGTGAGGCAGGAGGATTGCTTGAGTCCAGGAGTTCCAGGCTGCAGTGACCTATGATGACACCACTGCACTCCAGCCTGGGTGATAGAATGTGACCCTGCTTCTTAAAAAAAGAAAAAAAAATGCTCTAAGAAAAGTTGCTCCACTCTCACCAACACTTAAAGAAAGGCAAATAAAAGATGGCAGACTAGAAGCAACACTGCTCTCAAGGAGATACAAAGTGCTGAATAGATACCCAACTTTGAATTGATTATCTGAGTGAGAGCACTGTGAATCCACAGAGAGCAGGAGGGAGTGCAGTGAAGAAGAAAGGAGTGGGATGAGGTGCTCAGCAGGACAGGAGGTAATTAGGGAAGGCACTCACAAGTGGGAAAGGGACAGGAGAAAATCCCGGACTCCATGCTTCCTCTGAGGATACAGCAACCAGAGTGGTGTGAGGGACCCTCCACCGCAGCAGGCCTGGGGACTGACACAGAGACCTGACTGACTGGCAGCTATGCAGCTGTGTTGCTGAGAAAGCACGGTGGGCTGGCTTGCCGGCCTTGGGTGCTGCGGCTGGTGCTATTGTATTAATAACATCCCAATCCAGGAATGTTACTTTTGTCCAGGGGTCAAATCTGTGACTGCTGCCTATCCCTTCCCCCTGCCAGGCAGGGAGGGAGTGGGAAACATTAGAATAGAGATAACAGAATTTAAAGAAGTGAAAGAGTAATGTGGGAAATTTCAAAATACAGCAGAAAGCTTTAACAACAAGCTAGAGCAAGCCAAAGAAAGACTTAAAGAGCTTGAAGACAAAGATTTAGAAGTTACCCAGTTAGTAAAAAATGCATAAAAAAGAACAAAGAAAAATGAACAATCACTGTGAGAAATATGAGACTATGCAAAATTAACAAATATAAGACCATTATCCTAAGTGAAGTATGTCGGTAATGGAAAAACAAACACTCCATGTACTCTCCAATAATTGGGAGGTAAACGATGGGCACAAAAAGAAGTAAAGAACATTGGAATAAAAGAAGGGTAGAGAGTGGGAGGGGAAGAGGGGTAAAAACTTACCTATCAGGTACAATAAACACTATTCTGGTGATGGGCACACTAAAAGCCCTGACTTAAGCACTATTCAAGGTATACATGTAACAAAAAGAACCCCCTTAATATCTTGAAAAAAATATTAAAATATTAAAAAAAGAAATGCAAATAAAATTATGAGACTGCTTCTCACTTCCCATATTGCCAAAGATTTCAAAGATAACAATATTTCCATCCTTGCCAATACTGGCAAATAGGCAGTCTCGCAGCCTACTACTGACAGTGTCTATTCGCACAATAGACCTGAAGTATAATTTGATTATACTCATCAAAATGATAAGTATCTGGACTAACAAAGTTGCGCAACTCCATAAATTTACTAAAATGTCATTTTAAAATGTGTCTTAAAATTAGAGAATCTTATGGTAGATGAATTATACCTCAATAAAATCTGTTTTTAAAAATTGATTAAAATGCATGTTTGTTCACCTAGTAATTACATGCCAACAAATGCAGAAATCTGTTACTTGGGTGGAACAAAAAAAGTTGCAGGATACTATAGATGCTAATGACTATCATTGTTAATCACATCTTTAAATGCTGAAGAATAGATATCAACTTACACTTTTATAAACAGAAACCATTACAAAGATAAGAACAAACATCCCACACAATCCAGTTAAGTTAACAAATTCCATTCTACATCTATCTACTATATCAGGTCACTTCAGAGAGGCTGAATAACTAGAAGCAAGGTTGAAAGCTCCTCTCCCAGGAATAAAGATGCCCCCCAAACTCATATAACTCTTACTTTGATTGCATTCAATCCATGAGATGTTTTATCTTCTTCCACAACTGCAGTAACTTTTTGTCCAACTTTCAGAGGCACACTGCCAGTCACAACATCACTACTAAAGTAGATCGACTCATCAATCAAGCCATAACCACCAAAGAACCTTGTCACAACTCCCTGTACAGTTTTTAATCTGGCATCACCTAAAAGATGGGCAAACAAAAGGTTTCATTAATTAATCTCAAAAGCAAACACACACTCCAAGTAAGCCCTACCAGAGGAAGCTGTGATAGACAATTATTGAAATATTGAAATAAAATGACTTTAAGGTATCTCCATAATATGCTGAAATAAAAAAAACAATTAAACAAGTTAAAAAAAAACAAGTAAAAAAAAAAAGAAATAAAATGGGCTATACTTGTGCTACAGATGACAATGACAGTGGAGTGGAGTGGTTAAGTGTATAGGATCCTGGAGGCAGAGTGCCCAGGTTGAAAGACTGACTTCACCATTTCTCTGTATAGCACAGCAGCTCCATGCCCAAGGCAGCCAAACACAGAGTGAAGAGCACTGAGTCTCTGCTGAGCACTGACCAGACTGCTCTGGTTTCAATCATGGCTCTTCCCCTTATCATCTTGATAATGATAAGCACATCTGTTCACTTCTCTGAACTTGTTTTCACCTGTAAAACCAGGACATTAACAATGTCTGGCTAATAGGGTTGTTATAAACATTAACTGATACATGCATGAAAACTGCTTAGAACTGTGAATGCCTACCACAAGTTAGAGTATAAATGTTAGTTGCCATTGTATTTGTATCTAGAGAGTCTTTAAGCATCCATTATTGTTATACAATTCCATCATTATCAATAATAGCAGCAGTAGGAGCAACAGCAGCATCTGGAGAATCCCACCAGACAAAGCACATAAAGAGATCTGGAGATTCAAGTGTAGCCCAAATGTGCATCCAAATCACTCAGGTTGATTTCTTTTCTGAACAAACACAACTAGTAAGCCATGGTTTGGGATCTGAACCCAGAGAGTCAGCCTGCAGAGCTGCACTATAAACTACAGTGCCTTAAGTGTCTCTGCAAAAACTTGGGAAAATTGGCAGGATGGCTGGGAGAAATTGTGATCATAATAGATTATGGAGTCAGAAGCCAAGAAAAGGCTGGGCACTGTGGCTTATGCCTGTAATCCTAGCACTCTGGGAGGCCGAGGCCGGTGGATTGATCAAGGTCAGGAGTTTGAAAACAGCCTGAGCAAGAGTGAGACCCCATCTCTACTAAAAATACAAAGAAATTAATTGACCAACTAAAAATATATAGAAACAATTAGTCGGGTATGGTGGCACATGTCCATAGTCCCAGCTACTTGGGAGGCTGAGGCAGGAGGATCACTTGAGCCCAGGAGTTTGAGGTTGCTGTGAGCTAGGCTGATGCCACGGAACTCTAGCCTGGGCAACAGAGTGAGACTCTGTCTCAAAAAAAAAAAAAAGACAAGGAAATCCTGAAAATTTGGGGAAGAGTATCCAATTTGTTAGCTGAAATCATAAATTACAAGAAAGTGAAAGGGACAAGGGTGACAACTACTACATAGGCACATGAAAATATTGCTGAGAAATAAAAAATATATATTAATGTATATCTTCTGTGTGGTCCCATTGGTAAAAGTAGAGCTAATAATGTACAATGCATTGAAAGATTGCAGCTTATAGCTAAGAAACAGCCTCCTTTGGCAAACTCATCAAGCTAAGACCCAGTCACCTCTGCAGGGGTTCAAACTCTGCTGGCAGAGAAATTATATGGAGATTCCAGCACCAGGAAGGCAAGGTCCCTGCTGAGAGAATACTGCTGACCAAAGAGTAACTGCTTCCGCTGGGTGTGGTGGCTCACGCCTGTAATCCTAGCACTCTGGGAGGCTGAGGCGGGAGGAGCGTTTGCGATCAGGAGTTCAGGACCAGTTTGAGCAAGAGCAAGACCCTGTCTCTACTAAAAATAGATAGAAATTAGCTGGACAACTAAAAATATATAGAAAAATTTAGCCAGGCATGGTGGTGCATGCCTGTAGTCCCAGCTACTCTGGAAGCCGAGGCAGAAGGATTGCTTAAACCCAGGAGTTTGAGGTTGCTCTAAGCTAGGGTGATGCCACAGCACTCTAGCCCGGGCAACAGAGTGAGACTCTGTCTCAAAAAAAAAAAAAAAAAAAGAGTAGCCACTTCCACACCACCTGCCTGAAGACACTGTGAATTCACTCTTGTAGCAGGAGGTGCGTTAAAGAGGCTGGGAGCACATCAGGTAAGAAATAACTGTTGGATCTCAATGTCCAGGTGTGAATTCTTCTGGGCCACAGACCAGCTGTGTGCCCCTCTCTTCCCTTTTTGTATCTTTGATTCGGCTGTAAAATGAACACAACAATACTAGGACCTCTCTCACTGAAATTTTTTGTATTAGCCACGTGCATGTCCTTAAGGCTCTTAGCCCAGCGCTTGGCACATATAAGCTCTTGACACAAATTAGAATTAATGTAATTCAGAGCAGGTATGCAATCTACCCCAGCAAACCTTTTTACGTGTTATGGAGTCCCACCCACCAAACGCAAATGCCTTCACACATCTCTCCCGAATATTCTCTTAGGCTCTGGGGCAGGTTTTCATGATACAAAAGTGAACAACTTAAATGTGGTTCCTACCCTCCTATGGATGACAGATATATGACTCCTCCACTTGGCTTCAAACATATGCCTACTTGGGAAACAAAATCAAATTTACCTTGAAATTAGGAAGATCTACTCCTACTGGAAATATAAAAAGGAATCTGTTGTGCTTCACATAACACCTATACAAGATGAGTTCCAAAGGGGAAATGCAAGGGTGGGGCACAGACTCCTAGGGGGCTCTCTGCCTACATCATCTTCACTCTGGACAGGAGAGTTTGAGGCATCTCTCCCAGGCAATTCTCGATGTAAGTTCAGCACGTGTGGATTCGAAGACTGCCCACCCCCAGCACAAAGTGGCGCTTCCCTTGGCATGCAGAGAGCCCTTCTGAGCCCCCGAGGCCCTGCCTGGCGGTGGGACACACCCTTAAGGGCAGGACCCTGGTGGGACAATGGGGGGATAAGTTGTGTACCTTCCAAAAACTTCAGAGGCTGCACTCCCTCCACCTCCGAGTTCACTCTCCTCCAGAAGAAGGCAAGAGAACTGGAAATAAACTGGAGCATGGTCCTGTAGTCGGGGCAGCCTGGGCACCACATCGCAAGGCCTGCTTCAGTCTAGATCTCTGCCTCCCGCTGCACCCTGAGCACAGCATATGCTCAGGGGAAGTGCCTTGGTTAGAGGTTCTCGCACAAGCTGCAGACTCCGTATTGCCACTGCAGAAGTGCTAATGTACCCCGTGCCCATCTCCAGCCAATGGGAGCATAGTGCGCTTGGTGAAGGCCACTAAGATGCAGCAGGCTGGTGGGCGGGACTTCATGGATCCTCCCACCAAAAGCTAGGGCGGAAATGCAATAGCAAACCGAAAATCACTTCCAATCAGCCTCGCCCCCCGCCCACCCCGTGCATCTCATAGGGCCGATGGTCTCATTTGTGAGGTTCTGCGGGGAAGGCCTTGTGCCTGCCTTGGAAGGCGGGCAGCTTTCCCTGGGGATGAAGGCAGGCTCCCAAGCTCTGGTTCCTAGATGTCCAGCCCCCATTTCTCACTACCTCACTAACTTTTCACTTCCTTTGCCTCAGGGCACCCTACCTACCCCTCCGTAGCCCTACATTCCCTGCCTACTCCACCCCACAGGGAGCTCTGTGGTCAACTCTAAGCGAGGGCTTTCTGCTCAGTGTTAAATGATACCATAGACATTGTGGAAAAGCCACAGTTTCACATCTGCTTGGACGTCAAAACAGAGACTGTGCCCATCTCTGCTTGGAAGCTGGGACTGACTGTGGCTTTATAGTGAAGCACTCACTGTCATCTTTAAAGACACTTTAAAGTATGCATCAGAACATGGTTTGAGCATGGTCAAGTGATACTGCACCACACAGGAAATTTGGATTGCATCACTAGTATTTTCTTTCGGGGCTTTAACCTTCGTTATGCAGACGCAAGTGACTCCAATGTGCCCTCAAGGCTGTGAAACACTTTTAGAGGTAGGGCACCTGTAAGGTTTTTTGGTGACAAAAAGAAAAGACAGACAGAGAGAGAGAAAGAGTGGGGGCCAAATCACAGTGGCTTTATTATACACTCCTGGATGAGGTTCTGGGGCCCCAAGAGAGGGAGGCCCCAGAAGTCGCCTCTGTTTGAAGGGGCTGAGGCCTTTTATATCCTTTGCGCCTGGCTAGAGACTTTTGGCAGGAAGCGCTGGGGATTTTATGAGGGGCTGGAGGTATTTGTGGAATCTAAGAGCCAAAACATTTTTATCCAGGTGGACATCTGGGTGTGGTTCCCCTCTGCGGGGCCTGGCAGTTTTGTCCTTGGCGGGTCTGGTCTCATGAGCCTTTTCTTTTTTGATGTAGGGAAGGGAGGGGGCCCGCCACCAGCCTTACATTCCAGCCTTTTGGTTATGATGGGCACAGCTCTAACTACTTCCTGCTAGGAGGGGGCGTAGTTAGGGGCTATAGGCCGGGGTTGGCTGGTGGAGGGGCGGTTGGTAGTGGGGAGTACAGATGAAGAAGTAGTTGGTTTACTGCCACTCGTGACAACTCTTGTAGGCGGCGCTGGAGGAACTGTAAAAGACAGGGAGCAAAGAGAAAAATTAGGCAGATGATGACAACGGGTCCTATTAGTGGTAATAGGTAGGTAACCAAAGGGGACTGCATCCAGCCAAAGGGGGATACACCCTGGCGGTAGCGGTTGTGCAGGTCTTCACTCAGGTTGGTGAGCTTGTCTATGTTCTGCTCCACAAGGCCTGATTCACTGATATAGTAGCAGCATTCTTCACGAAGGAAAAGGCAGGTTCCTCTTTTTTCAGCCATCAGCAGATCTAATGCTCTTCGATTTTGCAGAGTGACCTGAGCCAGCGATGTTAGTTGTCTTTGTAGTGAGGCCAGCGAGGAAGAAGTGGTTTCTAGGGTGATTTGTAGGCGACCTGCAAAATCTTGGGGAGAAATGACACTGTGGCCCAGGGCACTTCCCACGAGCCCTAAGGCTGTAATGCAAGAGGCCAAGCTGAGACCATGACAGGTAGAAAGATGGCTTATCACGGCCGGGGGCCCTGGGAGAAGCCACCCAAATTTAGACTCATCGTATAGAGTTAATTGAGGGACCATTTCCGGAGTTTAGGAAGGCTAGGGTATGAAAAGACATGTAGATACTGTCCTAGGGAAAGCTTTAGTGCTTTTCAGGCAAGAGGCTGCCGCGCCCAGTGCCCTAAGGCAAGGCGGCCAGCCACAGACTATGGTGTGTAGTTGTTTGGCTAAATAAGCCACTGGAGTACAAGTGGGTGGGCTCCAGGAGCCCAAAGGCTGGGTGAGGATATCAAGGGAGGAATAGGTGATGGAACAGTCATCTATTAGACAGGTTATGGGGCCAGTAGTAGGGGGGCCATGAAGGATTGCCGTCAATACCCATAACCGACACCTGGGAAGGATAAGTAGGCTCTGAAAAAGAAGGCAGGACAGAGTAGGTAGCCCCCATGTCAACCAGAAAGGACACTGTCTCACCCGCTACCTTGATTGTTACCCTGGGCTCTGCGAGGGTGATTGGGGTCGCAGAGGCGGGGCTTTGTCAGTCTTCTGCAGCCAAGCCCCAAACCGTCAACGGCAGGTCTGGGGGTGGAAGGACTGACTCTCCAGACGTTTGTCCCAATGGGCAATCACACTTCCAGTGTCCCTGTTGACCACAGGCTGGACAAGTTTCAGTGGGCTGACGTGGCTGCGGGCACTGGTTGGCCCAGTGGCCTTCCTTACCACACTTGAAGCAGGTGCCTGGAGGAGTGCGTCTGGTTGCTTTAGACGAGGTTGATGGCCTTTCGGGCCTCGCTGGCTGCAGGGCTGCAACCAAGGCTTGGGCTTGCAGGTGTGCCTTTTGGTGGGCACGGGTTTCTTTTTGGGTCTCTGCCTGTTCATCTCGGGAATTAAAGATTTTAAATGCCATGTTCACCAGGTCTTGGATTGTTAGAGTCGGGATACCCACAGCGTTACCGGACAGAGAGACAGAGTCACCAAGGATGCAATTACACAAGAGGAGGTTTATTTTCTGGCTAGCCAGGGTCTGAGCCTCAGTGCACCAGCGCAGTGGTCACTCTTTCAGGCAGGGCCCCCGACCGGAACAATGGTATGCCTTTTATCCTCATGGTGCACAAGCTGCGCACAAGCTGATCACGCGTGGATCATGCGTTGACCTTTAAAATGATTGGTTGCCCACTATTGCCTTTTGAAATAATTGGCGGGTTGGTTGCCCTCTATTGCCTGATGGGCCAGTCGCCCGTGCTTCAATGACCTCATCCCATAATTCCCCATACAGCGGTGTAGCAAGCAAGCAATGACCAGAAGCAAAAGTTTGCAGTTAGCTCATTGCTCCACCCAAGTAAATTCCCGACAATTACTCAAGTAAATTCCCGACAATTGGAAAAATTCCTCTGCCCTTCCTCTGTCCTGCAAATTCCTCTGCCCTTCCTCTGCCCTACAGGATAGGGGTCTGAGGGCCTTCTTCTGTCTTTTTAAGTTTGCGTCTAATGTCAGGGGAGGACTGGGTGATAAAGTGAGTTGCAAGGTCAGTGGCCCCTGCTGGGGAAGTGGGGTCTAAGCGAGTATATTGGATGAGAGCATCCGAAGGGCGGCTGAGGAAGGCCGAGGGATTTTCATCTGGCTTCTGAGTGATTTCTCTAAGCTTATCATAATTAACGGCCCAATGGGCAGCGGCCTGGAGACCAGCAAGAATGCATTGCAGCATGCGATCTTGGCGGGTTCTACCATCTTGTCCAGCGGGGGTGTCTGGCTGGTATTCCCACCCCGGCTTATTACGTGGAACAGCCTCGGCCCCGACCAGCATGGTGCGGTCTGTTAGATGGACCTGGTCGTCATGTCCCTGAGCTGCCACCCAGACACGTTCCTTTTCATCAGTAGTAAGAGTAAAGGCCAGAATAACAAACATGTCATGCCAGGTCAAATCATATGCTTGTGTAAGATAGAGAAACTCTTTGGTGTAGGCTGTGGGGTCGTTAGAAAAGGAGCCTAAACACTTTTCAATCTGAGAGAGATCAGAAAGGGAGAAGGGAACATGGACGTGCCCGACCCCTTCGGCACCAGCTACCTCTCTCAGGGGACAGAGAAGGGTTTGGCCTGAGGGTCCTGCGTGGGATCGAGTGTGGTGACTAACAGGGGACGTTGGCAGATAGCCAGCACAAGCGGTAGCGGAGGACAGTGGGGCACTAGGAGGAGAAGGAGGACCTAGATATGGTGGAAGCCGAGCAGGGGGAGAGGTGAGGGAGTCAGGTGGGTCAGAGAAGGCGGAAGAGGTTTCTAACGGGTCTTTCAACTGAGAGGTGTAAGAGGCCAAGGACGGTGGAGAACTCAGTGCAAGGAGGATTTGTGACGGGTCACAGGTCTGACAGAGGGAAGGATGGGAGCGCAGATGGAAGAAAGCCTGGACATAAGGGATCTCCCACTATTTGCCATTTCGGTGACAAAAGTTATCGAGATCTTGTAAGATTTTGAAATTGAAAGTCCCATTTTTAGGCCACTGTGATCCATTATCTAATTTGTACATCAGCCAAGCAGTGTTATAATAGAAAATGAGTCACTTGGGCCGAATATCAGACTTGAGGCCCAGGGTTGCAAGATTGGCTAAGAGACAGCCCAGAGGCGTGTTAGATTTGATTTTGGAGGATTGACTGCCCATGGTGTCCTAGTCCAATGAGGGAAGGACGAGATCAGGAGCCGGAGTCCCAGGTCACCGATCAAGCCTTGGAGAGAAGGCTCTGAACCTTGGAAAGGACCGACTTAGTGGATCAGGCGTCCCTGAGGCACTCAGGACCTTATAAATCCTTACGGATGGAAGGACTGACTGAGGGGCTCGGACGTCCCTGAGACACTCAGGTCCTTATAAATCCTTATGGATGGAAGGACTGAGGGGGCTCGGGCATCCCTGAGACACTCAGATCCTTATGGTGGAGGATCTCTGACTTGGGCTATGGACAGAGACCCTGGAATGGACTCATTGGGCTAGGAACACAAAGGCAGAGGGACTTACACAGGCCAATTAGTCGACTGGCGTCTGGTAGAGGTCCTGGTCCGAGGTCAGGAAGACACGAGAGGGGACGGCGCGACCATGGCCCTGAGGCAGGCCGGCACAGCCAAGACTCCCCTCCC